CCGTGTGTGCACCTGCTGTTGGGCTGCCGGGGGGGCAGAGCGGCAAGGATAGTCTCCACTGTCCTTGGTGTCCCCAAGCCGGCGTCTCCGCGGGTTCGTGTGGTGCCCATCTGTGCCGTTGTGCTTTACTTCATGTACCCATTGGGGTGCCCAACCGCGTGTGAGCTGTCCTTCTTCAGTGACAGGGTTCTCCTTTGCTATAAAAATGGGGCCAGTACAGATTTGCTCTAACTGCTTTGAAAGCCTCCCATTAAAGATCCGTCATACCTTCCCCCCCTTCATCTTTAAAGTGCGAATCCTGCCCGCTCACTCGGGCCGCGTGACACTCTGCAGGTCTCCATTGCGCCACGGACAAATGCAGCACTGGGCTTTGCTCAGATGCTTCCGAGAGACCAGCACCTCTTCACCAAGGAGCAGCTGTTTGAGCGCATGTGCATGGCCTTGGGCGGCCGCGTGTCCGAAAATATCTCCTTCAACAAAGTCACTTCTGGTGAGAAGCCAGCCCGTGCGGGTCCTGGAGTTCTCCAAGTGCTTTCACACCCACTGTCTCCTGCGTGGGGGTGGGAGGGCGAATCTGAGGGAGGAATTTGAATAGTGGGACAGTTTCAGTCAGCGTTCTCAAGCTGTTACTTCACTGGGATGTCCAGAGAGGAAGTCGAGATGTTCCTCACTTGTTCCCAGTGACACTGGGGTTCAGTGTTGACAGCTATGCTGGTGCAGAGTGGGACATGGGCTGGAGAGTGCCAGGGGAGCGAACCCACATGTGCATCCCAGGTAGTAACTCAGAGTCGTAAGACAGGATACACTTGTCTCCTGGGTCCTTTGCCTGTGCCGGGGGGGGGGGGGCCCTGACTTGGCCCTTCCAGGAAAGAAACCTCTTTCTTGACCCCCACACTCCAGGGGCTCAGGACGACCTGAGGAAGGTCACACGCATTGCCTATTCCATGGTGAAGCAGTTTGGGATGGCGCCAAGCATCGGGCCCGTCTCCTTTCCCGAGGCGCAGGAGGGCCTCACGGGCATTGGACGGCGCCCCTTCAGCCAGGGCCTGCAGCAGATGATGGACCACGTGAGTCTGCACAGCTTGCTCGGCATGGGCTGCGTCCATACTGCGATGGGGTTAGGGCATGGGTCTCTCTTGGGTGCTGGCACCGTGCCCTCTGCCACACCGAGCAGAGTGCGCTGTCGTGGGGTCCTCATCAAAGGCGTTCCAGTCCTGACACTCAGTGAGTGTCTGTTCTTGGGTGAGGACTTGTGTGGCTTCTGGTGAAACTGTCCGTGATGTGACACTAGGAAGGAAACAGAAGAGACGCCCCAGTGATACCGCGGTGCCCCATGGTCGCTGCACCTGCAGGACACGCTGCGTGCTCCACGGGAGACGGGGCCAGGGCGGGTGCACGTGGGAGGGGGCCTCGGGCCCGGAGGACAGAGCTGAGGGGCATTCCCAGGGCACGGGGTAGGGGCAGCCGAGCTCTCCTGGCCACGATGAGAGAAAAGCTGCGTTCCTGTCCCTGCGGCTCCTTTGTGAGCTCTGGCACCAGGATCCGGCTACACAGGACGTGGTGAGTGTGGTGGGCCACCCTGCGCATGACCCAGCTGCTGTCTTTCGTTGGCAGGAAGCGAAGCTGCTGGTGGCAAAGGCCTACAGGCACACGGAGAAGGTGCTGCAGGAAAACCTGGACAAGCTGCAGGCGGTGAGGTTCTGGGCGCCGGGCCTGTCCCTGCAGAGTCGTCACTACACGCTCCTCACGGGAGTCCTCCCGGCACACACAGCCGCAGAGAACGTGTCCACTGTGTGCTCCACCCAGCTCAGCTGAAATCTCCCATTTTTCATACCTCGTCCTCAGCTTCTTACTGTGAACACGTCAAGCCAGTCCCTTGAAGCAGGCAGAAGAACGTAGTACTAAGTGTGTGGTCGCCCTCACTTACTCTTTCCCAGCTCTTAAGTTTTTCCTACAATTTTTATTTTTTAAGTGATCTCTGTGCCAAACGTGGGGCTCAAACTCTCATCCCCGACATCAAGAGTTGCAGGTTCAGGGGTGCCTGGGTGGCTCTGTCGGTTACATGTCTGACTTGATTTCGGCTCAGGTCATGATCTCATGCATGCTGTGTCCTCAGAGGGTTGCTCCCAGACGAGCAGCACCTGCCTCCCCAGGGCGTGTGTGAGCAGTGCAGGGACTGAGCCAGAATCGGCTGTTAACAAGGCCCGAGTGCCACACGTGTGCAGGACTCAGGCTCCCTGTGCAGGGGCCCAGGACGTCCCGCCTCTGCCCCGTTGGTGGGTTACAGGGCTGAGCAACATACCAGACCTGGCCTGCGGACAAAGCGGCCGCGCCCATCAAGGGTACTTGGGACTTAGTTCCTTGTGTCCAAGACTGAGCCGTCAGGACGGGCTGCTCGTGCAGCGCGCACACACAGTTCATTCAGCATGTTCTCCACGACTACATCTAGAGAGGCTGAGGCTCCCTTCCCACACCAGCTCCCTTGTCCCCACAGTCCAGCCTCCCCTCGCTCCCCCACGTGCAGACACACACACCTTGTTTGGTAAAGGAAGTTGAAGTTGCCCCAGAAAACAGACTTGGAAGGGAAGCAGAAAAATTAATGAGGCTGGCAGCTGGGAGAACATCTCCAAGGTCGAGACAGGGAGGGATTCTTTACTTGAGCTGCCTGCTTACGCTGCTTCCCTGGGAAAGTGGCCTGCCTGGGGCATCCTGCTCACAGACACCCCCTCTCTCCTGGGTGCTCCGCTCTCAAAAGGCCCTTCTGTGTCCTTGTCTGGGGCTCACACACTGCCCTGTTTGTTCCCTCAGCTGGCGAATGCCCTGTTGGAGAAGGAAGTGATAAACTACGAGGATATCGAGGCCCTCATCGGTCCACCACCTCACGGGCCCAAGAAGATGATCGCTCCTCAGAGGTGGAGTGACGCAGAGAGGGAGAAGCAAGACGTGGGGGAGGAGGAGGCACCTCAGCAGCCCCCACTTCAAGGGGAGGAGCCGTCTTGGCCCAAGTAGTTAGACCTCCTTGATTGTGCCTCGGGATGTGCCGTTCCTGCCGGACGCAGGAGGGGAACACATTACTCAGACCCACTGAGATTTGTACCTCCTCGTAGCCCTCACTGGTCTCTGAAAGGCTTCTGAGATCTATTTACTGACTTCCCTCCCTGTGAGTAGTAAATGTCCCTGCAGACGATTTAGCTCTGGTTTGTAGATCATTTTCCCCGTGGGGAGGGTTATCCGTGCTGGGTGCAGGTGCGCATGTGGATCTCAAGCTCCCAGGTTGGTGACACTGTCATTTTGTGGGCGCTGAGAGATCCAGGGGCAGCGCAGCATCCGGGCCCCAAGCAGCTTGTTCCTGCCTGGGGCGTGTGCAGGGGCTGTGTCTTCAGCTCCTCTGACTTCGTCGGAGTGCTTGACAGCATCTGCAGTGAAAGGCCCCCCTGAGCTGCCTGCTGCCATCCTCCCTCGCTGGGCCCCGTCCCTGTGCTCACGCACCCACGGGGTCAGCGCTGGGGACAGCAGTGGGCTCTAGAGCATGAAAACACTGCCACCTACTGCTGTATGGATGCGAGCACGACAGCCTCTCCTCGTGGGTCTGGCCTCCGCGTGCTGGTGGGGAGGGGACAGACATCCTGAGACCTGCTGCGGTACTTTCTAGGCAATTCTGTGGGTGGAAAGTCCATCTTTGCACCACACGACCAGCTGTAACCCAACAAAGGGTCATGTGTTTCGGTTTATAATTTCAGCCACATGATAACCGGTTGAAGAGCCCCTTTTGTAGGAATCTGGGGTAAAGGCTATAGGACACCCCCTCACTGCAGCAAGTGGGGTGCACTGGGCTCCTTGTTCCCAGGGGTGTGCAGCACGCACTCAGGTGCTCGCACCTGCTGCTCTCATTGCTTCTGCCTTCCCTGCAGTGGCACTTCCTGACAGAATGGGGTGTTCTGCTGCCCGTCCCACAGTCAATGGCAGCATGTGGGCAGGTACAGGTCACACCTGAGGGAGGGCAGCTCCGACAGCACACTCGTGTTTTGACCCCAGTTCCCCAAATTCGTTTCCAAAGATGGGCATGTGGTTAGGAGGGCTCTGGTCTCTGTGCCCAGGGCGGCACCCTCGGTACCCTAACGGTGGATGTGGTCAAGCTCATCCCCGCTGTACTTGACCATTAAAGTGGCCTCTGCTGTGTGCCAGAAGATACTTAGGAATCGAATGTAAATGGCATGGAAAGTGGCCCCCTCACCCTAGTGGAGACCAGTGCAGCCTGTCTCCCTAGCACTCATAGGTGTGAGCAGGCTCACAGCCACACCGGGAGGGAATCTCTCTGTGCTGACAGGTAGAAGCCAGGTGTTTGCCAACTTTGGTCCTCCAACTGGTCCTGAGTGATGTCACCTCCAGGTCATCAGATATCTAGTACTCAAGACGAGTGCCAGAAGTTCTACCTCCCCCGCTACCTCCTCATGGACTGAGCCTGCCTCTCACCTCCCATAAGGAGCCTTCTCCAACTGCACGTGGGTCCCTGAGCAGCCAGACCACACTGGGCAGCCTGTGTGCTCAACGCTGGAGCTGCAGCCCTGACCCTCTGCCCTCCCCCTGGCACAGCCTGTATAACATGGCCTGACTGTAGCTTCTGGAACACACAGAGAAAGACACATTTTTGTTAGTAATCTCTACACCACCCCAACGTGGGGCTCGAACTCACGACCTGGAGATCAAAAGTCACATGCTCTTCTGACTGAGCCACCGGGCGCCCCGAGAAAGACAAATGCTTTTTAAGTAAACACGTATATTTAACACAATCCTCCTCAGAAGACAGGAAAGTACTAAGAGAAATTAACATATGTTCTTAAATAATACAAACTGTTCTCCACTGTAATGTATACTCATCAACACACACTTATGATTGTTTTGTTATGCTCGTTCAAGGCTTATTTTTTGTTTTGGTATAAATGATACACATCATATTAGTTTCAGGTGTACGATACAACGATGCAACATTCATGCATATTGCAGAATGATCACAATAGGCCTAGTTAACATCTGTCGTCATGCAGGTATTTTCTACGGTGAAAACTTTTAAGATCGTACTCTAAGCAACTTTTAAATAAAACATTTATGATTATAATTCTAATATTCTTCCTGTCGCCTTTCACTGACCTCAAGCGTTCCTTCAGGTTAGGGATCTCTGAGTTAGCCTACAGTTGATCTTTCTGTAGGCCACAATTCTGGACAGCTGAGATGCTGGAGAGTTGGGGTTCTGTGATTAAGCAGCAAACATTATCCTGTCCTAGCTGTTACTGGGCTACTGCTTTTCCTAACTCAATATATTTATATGCCATATTAATACGACATAGCATGCTAGTTTTTGCATAGTATTTTGGGATATATCTTTTAGCCCCAAAAAACACAATAAAATCACTTTGCTGCTATGATACTAATTTAAGAACTCAAGGTGTATGTCTGAGAGGGCTCCACACACTACTGCTGACTGTTTAAGTGGGATTTCTTTGAAGCCAACACCCACAGCATCGGTGGGAGGACGCCAGTCAGGTACAGGTACTGAATGAGCAGGCTCTGCTGTGAGGAACGGGCTCAGTCTTGCAAGGAAATTCTGGGAAGCTGTCCTGAGCTCCTCCCACACCTTCAGGGATGTCCACCCAGGAATCGCTGGCCACCTTGAGTGCAGTTCCCAGGGGTATTAGCAAGCTCTTTCAGTGGCCCTTACAGGCCAAAGTTGGGGACAAAAGCCTGGAGCAGAGCCGTGGCTGTGGAATTCTGTGCCCAGGACAGGGCCTGTCCCTATAGCTACTGATTTCTAAAATGCTTGAGCCAGCCAAGTCTTTGTATCAGAAGGACTCCTGCTTAATAGTTGACAACGTTCACTCTTCTTTTCCAACAAGAAAGCCGAGCCCGTCCCCAGCAGGATTTCACATCAGAACCAGTTTCACCGGGCGCCTGGGTGGCTCAGTCGGTTAGGCGGCTGCCTTCGGTTCGGCTCATGATCCCGGGGTCCTGGGATCGAGTCCCTCATCGGGCTCCCCGCTCTGCGGGGAGCCTGCTTCTCCCTCTCCCTCTGCCTACTTGTGTTCTCTATCTCTCTGTCAAATAAATAAATAAAATCTTTAAAAAAAAAAAAAAGAACCAGTTTCACCTCAATATTCTGCACACTTTCCAAAGGAATCTGCAATCTGGCATGGTGTGTGCTGGAGACCAAGATTTTTGAATTACAACTTCACTTTCTTACCACTAACTTGATTTCTGAGCAGTGTTTCTATTTTCAGACCTCTGTCCCCCAACCAGTGACCCATGGCCACATCTCAACTATGAGCGGCTGGAGCACAGGTGGAGATGTGGGTCGGGGCAGATGGAACTGCATGAGTCTGGGAGTCTGTCCAGAAAGAGAAATTGCAGGTAGGGACAGGAATGTGTTGGAGATTAGTAAGAGCAATGATCCACTGAAAGGGGTCTGAGAAAGACATGGGAGGTGCAGGCTACCATTTGATAGATCGTGTTCAAAGAAATACGGCATGGGCCAAGGCAAGTGTTTATTCAACAAGTGTTTTCTCCAGCATCACTCTGCTGCAGTTACGTTGCCACAACAGAGTGTGGGTTCAAGCTCCAGTGCCACTAGAAAAAAGTGAAATGAGATGGGGGAAGAGTCCGTCTCAAGGTTTCTGTGAGCACTGAATGAGGGACCATCCGCTCTCTTCCATGCTCCTCTCCTGCACCCCTTTGCCACAGCGGCTCCTAATACATCACACGGAAGCAGAGCCGTGTGTGGTTCTCATCCCGTGCCGGGTGCTGTGCTGTGTTCCGTGGCCTGAACACAGCCAGTCGTCCCACTTCACAGAAGGGAAAAGTTAAATAATGGGCCCAACGCCTCGAAACTAGTACAAACGTAGAACCCAAGCCAACCGCACAGCCTCTTTCTTTGTGACTGGTCACTGACCCTCCAGTTTAGCCCATCTGCGTTCACGAAAGTGGCGGAGACCAAAGAGATTTTAAACTTCCCCTGCACTTCACAGACACATACGCTTCCAAGTTTGTGAGAGGTGCTTTCGCTAACAGCCTTGCATTTGCTAACAACTGCCGCTAAAGCAGGCCTGATCTAGTCCTTGTTTCCTCACTGAGCAGGTATTTATTAAAGGCAGGGCCAGGGTTGGAACTTTGCACGTAGGCTCAGTGCGTCTGAACAGACCGCAAGGGGCCCCATAGATGACACACGTTCTGTGTCCCTGGCCCAACCCTGTAATCCCTCAGTGCATCCCAACCGATCTTTCTAACACCAAGGGCGTCTCAACAGGGAAAAACTCTTTATCAGCAGCACACAAGCCCCCAAATGTCTCATTTAGTGTCATGAAATTCCTTGAATGTTCAGTTTTATTAGAAGCCTGGTGCTTGGGGCGAGGGTGGGAAAGAAGGGATCCTGGGACGGAAAGGCGGTTTCCTAGACGCGCCCTGGAGAAGAGGAGACGCGCGGGGCACAGGTCATGGAGGTCTACCTGGCAACTTGGCATCTTTTCAGGACGCTCGTCTCGTGCAGGCGGCCGTCTGCGGCCGACCCCGCATTCGGCCCCAGCCGCCCGACCTCGGGGATCCGCCAAGAGGAGGCGGTTGTGCGGCGCTGCGTGAAAACGCATGTGAAGTACTCTGCCCCCTGAGAGAAAAAGCTCGGCAAGGGTCAATTCCGTGTAAAGAAAGAAGCACAAGGGGCGCCTGGGTGGTTCCGGCGGTTAAGCGTCTGCCTTCGGCTCAGGTCATGATCCCAGGGTCCTGGGATCGAGCCCCGGTCCGGGCTCCCTGCTCGGCGGGGAGCCTGCTCCTCCCTCTCCCACTCCCCCTGCTTGTGTTCCCTCTCTCACAGTGTCTCTCTCTCTCTTCAAATAAGTAAATAAATAAAAATTTTTTTTTTTTAAAGAGACAAGTACAAATGTTCGAAAAAGATGGAAAGCGCAAAGACCGGGACGCGGACGCGACGTTTTAGGGTTGGGGCACGTACCGAGTCCCGTGACGCGCGGACGCCGGAAAGACGGCACTTACAGCGCCGCTGCTCTCCTCTGGCCTGGCCGTTCCTCTTTCGGAGCCGCGGAGTCCCTCAGCCGCCCGCCTTGGACCCAGGACGGCTCCGCTTCCAGAGCGCTGCGGGTGGGAGGCGCCATGTTCGCCCAGGGCCGGGAGGCCGTGCACGTCACTTCCGCGACCCCCGGCTCTGATTGGGCAGAGAGCGTCGGCGCTTTTGATTGGCTGAGCCCAGTACCATCCCAGGGTGCTTTGCGGCGCCCGTTCTTTTCCGCTGGCCGTTCTCCTTCGGAGGAGGTGAGTGTGCGGGATCCGGGCGCCGTTGGCGGCATCGGGCCGCATCCGCCGCCATCCGCTGCCATCGGCGTAGGGCTGCGCCGGGCGCGGCCACAGAGGGGCTCCGGGCCCGCGCCGCAGACGGGAGAGGGCCGTGGCCCGGGCCCTGACTCGCTCCCCGCGCTCCCAGGCCCGTAGGCGGCGGCCATGGCGCCCAGCCGCAATGGCATGATCCTGAAGCCCCACTTCCACAAGGACTGGCAGCGGCGCGTGGCCACGTGGTTCAACCAGCCGGCGCGGAAGATCCGCAGGTGAGCCGCGGGGCGGGCGTTAGGGGCGGGGGCCCGCGGGGCGGCGTGGACGCGGCGGGCTGAGCGAGCCGACCGCTCTGTGCGCAGACGCAAGGCCCGGCAGGCCAAGGCCCGCCGCATCGCCCCGCGCCCCGCGTCCGGGCCCATCCGGCCCATCGTGCGCTGCCCCACGGTGAGGTACCACACCAGAGTGCGAGCCGGCAGGGGCTTCAGCCTGGAGGAGCTGCGGGTGAGTGAGGGCGCAGCCGCGCGGGGGGCTCGGGGGGCGCGCAGTCCGTGATGACAGTCTCCGGAATCGCTGTACTCGGTGATGAAAGTACGCTGAACCCTTTTCCATCTGACGGCTGAGCGCCCGGCGGCCGCGCGGCGCCGCGGGGACCCCGGGGGCTTCATCCGTGTCTGTCGGGGCAGGTGGCCGGCATCCACAAGAAGGTGGCCCGGACCATCGGGATCTCGGTGGACCCGAGGCGGCGGAACAAGTCCACGGAGTCCCTGCAGGCCAACGTGCAGCGGCTGAAGGAGTACCGCTCCAAGCTCATCCTCTTCCCCAGGAAGCCGTCGGCGCCCAAGAAGGGCGACAGCTCTGTGAGTGCGCCGGGGTCCTGGCGGGCCTGCCCCCCCCCACACACACAGGGCGCACGGGGCGGGAGGGCCTG